AGACACTTTATCTGATGCCATACTATGTTTAATCTCTGTGTGTGTACGGCCAAGGGGAAAAAACAGAATCTTCAATAACTTTAAATTAAGATTTATGTAGAATTAGTGGTTGTCAGTTTTTGTGCCATGAAAAGGATGTGAATCATAATATAATTCGTTAACTTGAGGCTGTATTAGCTACATTTATTATGAAGCAGAAAGGGAAGCTGAATACTTTAAATGATTTAGTGACTAAAAGGATAAAGGAAATAAGGTCAATTAACCACCTTCTTCAAGTAATGTCCCTATGTTGCCCCACTGTAGGTTTTTGTGCATTCCTGTGCTGTCAATTGGAGGCTAGTTGGCATGGGAGGGTATCTCTCGTCAGTTCCTTCTCAGCCACCCTAGGACAGAGAAGGAGCTAAGAACTGCCCATTCAGAGATTGTTAGCACCTTTTAGTTTTGAAGCTTTTTCCTTCTCTTTAATTATCTTTCTTTTTAGTACTTATTTGCTTTTAGTCAGACCCAACAAAGACCCTATGGGCCCGGGCAAGGTAGTTCTAGGACCATGGGGATATGATAAACATAGAAGCTCTGCTCTGAGGAAGGCTAAGTCAACTAGATAAGTAGTCCCAGCATAACTCCTGGTGCACGTGGCACCGACAGACTGTATGACCAGGTCCATGTCTCTGACTGTATTAGTACTAGCCTCTTAGCACCAACAGCTATCGGCACCAGTATGAGAACCACTCTCAACAACAGACTATTGGTATGCATTGGATGCTCGCTGATGCGCAAGACTTACCCCCTCTCGGTACCTGGGCTCTGGTACTGAGCTTGCCAGGAGTAGTGGACAGTGGCATCTTCATGTCCTTCACCACCTTTCTCCTCTTCAGACTCAGATTTCTACCGCATGTCCTAACCACAACACGGGGCAGCCACAATTTCAACTGCCAGCTTCCTACCTGCAGTGATCATACTGAGGCCCCTGGCAAACCCAGAGCAGCAAGACTCAAAGATCCCTAGCATGAAGGACCAGCAGGCATTGAAAGCACCCTCTTTCAGCAGTGGATTCAGAGGTGTTGGACAGTGTTCCCTCCAATCTTTTCCATCCATGTGCAGAATATATTTTTTTATGTGTGAATGTGAAACAAACAAAAAAAACGCTATCTGCGAATGCTCTGCTAATCAGTTGGCAGCATTTAAATCTCTCCTGAGTGACTACACAAGCGCACAAATTATAGGGAACACTAGTGTGTGAGCCTCCTGAGCTATTGGGAGAAAGGATGGGAACAGAATCAGAAAAAGAGAATGTTCCTTCAGCCTGTCTTTCATCATCCTCATCTGATTGAGACATTATGCCTTCTTTGCTATCCATGGTAGATGACTTTAATTATTCAAACACCTACCCCAGAAAGTGGCTGAAACCGTGCAAGTGCAATTGCATGAAGTTTCTGAACCTTATTAC